CAGAAAGGATCAAAGCACGGCCAATATTAACCCAAGTGTTAGGCTACAGCGTAGGGATCATTCCTGTTAATAGCGATCTGCGAGTTTAATGCAAAAACACATGATCACACCGGTGAGCCTGGTGCATTCCAGCCTGGTTTCCTCATGCACAATTTATCGCAACCATGAATGTTAAGATTTTACGCGGCCCCGTGCTACAATACCGCCGTCCCCGTCAATGCCCGCTTCCCTTTGCATGCAAGAAAAGGGCAAAACAAAAGTTTACGCGCTAAAATGTAAAGCAGCAACCATTCATACTATTAACGATCTGGTTTTTTCGAGTTCAGCGCAAAAACACATAATGCACCGGCGAGATAAGTACGTCACTACCTGGGGGGTTTTTTTGCATGAACGACTCATGCAGAAGGGATGATGAAAAATGAACCTTTTTATATTCCCAGACATCGCGTCGTTTGCGTACTTCCTCAATAAGGATGAGACGCGAGTCATCGTTCCACATCTTCACCATTGTGAACGTCCTGTAGCAGATCACCTCGATGGCTCACTTCCCAGAGATTCGCTGCTCCCACACTGAAAACGCTTCACTTTTTATCAACGCTTCAATACTAAACAACATCACACACCCGACTAGAGAAATTTGAAAAAATTCGAATTTTTCAAAAGTACAAATGCAGTTTCGTCGCAGAAGTGAACACACACGCACACACAGAGACATCTGCCGCGCAGATGCCCGGGCTACGATGCAACTGCCACAGAATGCGAATCGTCACAGCCCTCCGTAGTGAGCTCGCATGCAAATTTAGTGCTGAAAAAATTGGAATACAATTGAGCCGGGACGTGAAAATGCAGCAGTGGAGGGGAGCGCGGAGAGGGTCACAGGGGGGTACAGCAAGCCAGCTCTAGCCGAGTCACTCGAAGCAGTGGCAGGAGTAGCAGCATTTCGATGACGACGACTACAACGACGCAAAGCGAGGCGAGCCCATTCTCGATTTGTGCCCGGCTGCTCCGCGGTGCGTGCGTGTGCATTTGTGTGTGTATGTGTGTGTGTGTACATCTGTCCAAGCCACAATTGTGAGGTGCTCGCGGTGCCGTCGCTTGCCACCCACGCCGCACCGCGCGTCAGCGACCAGTAGCGGCGACGCAACCATCCATCCATCCAGCCACGGATCGATTGCAGCAGCAACAGCGGCAGCAGCAGCAGCAGCAGCAGCAAGTGCAGTGCACCGACGTGCAGTTGCGTCCTCAGCGCCCCTTTCGCTGTTTATCGAAACGGCGGTGAGCAGCAGCAACAGCTGCTGCGTGGTATAATCCAAAAAGCCAACGCACAGGGATCACTTGATTGAGACCTTTCAGGGGGCAAAGTAATGAAAAATTAGCCAGTCATGCAACAGCATGAATAATAACAGTAAAAATTTCAGGAAAAACAAAGAATGGCTCACCCGCACTAGCAGGCAGATGTAGCGAGCATACGTT